CACCAGGAACATCACAGGAGCATAAAAGCGTCAAACACTGTGACTTTGTTTACTTTCCATTTATTCACATTTCATGGATATTACACTTCCTCAAAAACTAATACAAATCGAGATTACATTGTCTGACAATTCAAGTATTTTAGTTTTAGAAAACAATTTCCTATGTGACATAGGAAGCAAACATCTTATCCAACTGATTGCTAACAAGTTTTACAGCTGTTACAACTGCACCTGCATGGGCAGAGTCCACGGTCCTCAGCACGATGGCCTCTGGCCAAGAACGTACCAGTGTGTAGAGTGCGGCCTGGATGGGCTGCTCCCGGCCACCTGCTGGTACCACGGGACACATCAGGTCCTACCACACATTCTCACTTCCAGAGCGAGCACAAGTACCCGGGGATTGGGGAGTGAGCCACTTGGTCTGCAAAGCCTTCAAACGCCCGCGCTCGCGTCCTGACTGCTCCGAAGTAAAGAGTAACTGACGAATGCTCAAAAAGCAAACAACCTGTTTAAACTTTAAAACTAAACCAAAAAAAGGCTCAGTGACAACTTGTTCTGAACTCTGATGGTAAGGTGAATTGTTTTTTCTCTACCCCGGAACAGGTAGATCTTTTTTGGCATGCAGCTTATCAAAACTATAATGTAGAACTGAAATTGTACAACAATAATCCTTGTCAAGAAAATCAGTTTAACAAATGGCCAGACTTGTCCTTCCGTAGAAAACACAATCTACACACTGCTTTAAAAACGGGACACACGTTTCCAGCCCGTAATTCTAAAAAGAAGACAGCACAACGCCCAAGTTTTTGCTTACTGGGGAATGCTCCAGAGGAGATGGGACAGGCACCAGTTGGAAAAAAAAAAAAAAAGAAAAAAAGAAAAAAAAAGGCCACTGGGACACTCAGTATGACGCAGCACGGTTAGGATCAAAGGTGATCCTTCGGGCCACGCAGATGATACACATCACAGATCCTTCAACTAAATACAAAAATTTCCATCTACATCAGACACTTTAAAGCCAAATTTCTAGTTATTTTGTTAAAAATAATTCTAACTAAAGCCAAGGGGTGGAACTGAGCTATTAGTACAGTGGGGGGTGAGCTCTCTGGGGGGCCCCGCCCCCGAGTAACATATAAGCACTTAGACTTTACAGTAAAATCCACACACACTCACGCTCTTTTCTATTAGCACATAATTAAAGTGGAGGCCAAAGTTCCTAACGCACAAGGGACACGGAGGAAATAGCACGTTGTGAGTGATGGCGCACATGTCACATCTGCCCCTGTAATGATCACTTTCACAGTGACAGCTGTAGCAGCAAGTTTGCCGGGAATGTTAGGAAAAGAGAAAGCCACACATAGTGAAGCCACTACTTCAAAGAGATATGAGCTATTTTTCCAGGGGGGTTGAGAGGTGGCCCAATTCTGATGTTTTCGGGCCATTTCTGGCAAACGTCCCACCGGACAGGCCGAGGCTACTGCCACCGAGGCGCTCCTGAAGGTGCCTGGGGACCACGGGAGCACGTGACACCAACGTAGGACACACGGGGCCCCACATGTCCTCGTCCTTCCAACGGCTGGATAAACCTCAGGTGAGGGAACAGGACCAATGACGCGGAAACGGTGTCAGCCACCCGCTTACCACAGTCGCCGGTAACAGAAACTCACCCACGTACTCTTTCTAAAAGGAAAATGCAACAGAAGTGGCCACGCCCTCCCTGTTGTCCCAGGTGAGAGTCTGACTACGTCTCACAAAGTGTAAGCACCTCTCTGTGTATTTGTCCAGAGTCACATACACGCGGGGGCCAAATTCTCTCAGCAGAACCAGAAAACAAGTACAAGAATCTCATGATAAATGTTGGGCCAACTACCACACTTCAAGTGTTTAACACGGTTGATCATAAAACGGTTTCCCTGCCCCCCTTATATCTAAAACTTATAGCTTCTTTTTTAAAAAAGCAACTGTAGTATCTACAGTTATCATGACTGTTCTTTCCTAAGTCAGAAAACATTCTATGCGCTGAAGATCAGAATATACAAACGTGAGCCCTCAGGCACGGACCCTGAGCCTTTAAAACAAGATCATTAAATGACTAACGAGGAATGAAAGTGGACATTTAAACATTAAAAACTGCATCTAATTCATGTGCCCAGAGTCTTCCCAGAAGGCTAGGATTAGCGACCCAACAGCGGTGGCGAAGTGACGGGATCTTCTCATGCACAACCATGGCTCCCTTCCAAATGGACACGCCGAGTATCTTACTCTTAAAAAAGTCAATGGAAACTTATCAAATGCAGAATAATATACTTCTGTCTAAAGTTAAAGGCAACATTTGCACACACGATTTCAATTCCATGACCTTCCTGGTGAACTTACATGGCTCATGTGTAGTAAAAGCTCTGAGATCCCCAGGGTTCATCACGGTACAAATGAACTAGGACAGATTCACTTTCTTTTTTGCACCGTGCTCGAACTTTAACTTAATTTTTTTCCCCCAGGTTTTGCGGTCTATGGTCTATCAACTATAAGCTACCAAATTTGTGCTTTTAGACCCTCATTCCTGACCACCCCCCATTCTGTCTGTAGGGGACGCACTGGTAACAGCACCTCAGGAATGCCACTACAAAACCCCATCCAGAAAACCAAAGAACAAACTCGTTTCCTTTGAAAATGAAAAAGCAGTTCCTGAATCAGGTAAAACAGGCCACAGGGCTAAAAGGCCGATGTCTGCAAATGATAAGCTAAAGCCTCTAATGCGGAGGGGGAACATTTGGTGGTCAAGATTCAGCTTTAAAACAAGACGATGCGGCAAAGGAAAAACGCCTCTGTCACGGCGTGGTAGCGAGATTCATTTGGAAAGGGTGCTGTCCTCCCAAATCAGGCAAGCCCACCAGAGAGAATGCCACAGGCAAGTTTCCTCCTGGACGCAGGGGTTGCCGGCACGCCTTGCAGGCCGCAGCAGTGCACCCCAAAACCCGTGGATCGGAACAGCCTTTGGGAAGTCTAATCGATACCCTGATTTTAGTCTATTAAGAAATCACTTGCGGTCAGTTTGATAAATGAACATTAAAAATCTTCCAAAAAATCTCATTCAAACGTATTTTACACATCAGACAGTTGTTAAGAAGGGAGAATACGGTTTCTTGACGCTTAACATTTGCAGGTTTTATTGGCCACATTCATCTTCCTCACAAAGTTCTAAGTTACCGTCCGCGGCGGGCTGACTACGCGGAGGGCGGGGGAGGGGGGGCAGCAGCTCGGCAGCGACTCCGCAGAGGGAGGGCGTTCAGGCGTCCTTTTTCTCCAGTAAAATTTTGTGCAGCTCATCTGCGTCCTCACCTGTTTTTACCCGGATTAACATGGTGACCGGGACGGTGGCGTTCTTCTCATCGATGGGTGGGTTTGGGACACACACAATAAGTACGTTGTTTTTCCCCGTTCGGGTGCACGGCATATTGGGCGGGATCAGGACATTCAGCAGTATGTTGCCTGCATTTAAGCAAAGGAGAAGGTACATCAAAATCACACAGACCCCGTGTCGGGAGACTACAGCTTTAATATGCGAAAACATTCAATCCAGAAGCCCTCTTCAACTTAACCGATCTAACGCGGGGGGCCATCAGGGAGGTCACGGGAAAGGGCACTGGTTCCCTGGTGCACATGCCAGCACGGCGTCCCTCCAAGAGGACCACGAGGACTCTGGCAGGCCCTGGCCCTGCTGCGGGGAAACCGCCTTCCACCCCGCTCCTGCCCACATCCCCGGCCTCCGTTGCAGCAGCCAGGCCCTGCTGAGAGGCGTCCGTTCTTACATGAAAGGAAGAACACTTTGGCACGATCCGGAGCCTTCACGAGGTCATTGGAATAAAGGCAGAATGGTCAGCAAAGAAACCTCTGTCCGAGGCAAGCATGGCTCCCGGATGGGTAGTGGGGCGGTTGGGTGGGGGGGGGGGGGGGGACCCACTAGTACCATGATGGTGTCACCCATGCATCAAGCCTTCAGGGAAAAAAAGCCACAGGGAAGTTTCTGTATCCAGGCTGGCAGGGCCCAGAGCTACCCACCACTTCCTCTCAGACCTGCCCCGTCCTCCCTCCGGCGGGCTGTTCTGAGGGCGAAGCTGGGTGTGGGGTGAAGGATGGACTGCAGCACGTTCAAGTTTTTTGCCTACATAAACCAGATTCCTTCGAACGGTTAACTCCCTTCTGTGTTTATTAAACCATCCACTTTATCGATAGCTGCTTGGTTACATTTCTAACACAAATTAAAACGAAAACCATTTTGGTGACTTCTTGGCTACAGTTTTTAACACACCTATATCTCCTTACACATTGTCACTTAATTAAATCTGTAAATAGTCAGTAAATACAGGATGCATTTGGTTTGAACGACTGCTATTCCGACCCCAAACACAGCAATATACTCGACCTAGAGGACTGCAGTGAGCGAGGGGAAGTCTTTTACACCATGTGGTTATGAGGACTTGGGCCACTTGAAAAAAGAGATACCCACCTAAATTGGTGTCTGCCCGCACTAAAAGCTGTGTCTTCTGATTTGTTGTAGGTTTTAAATGCAAAGTACCCACACCTTTCTCTTTAAATTCATTGTCTTTCTTGTAAAATAGTTTACACCTATGGGGACAAATAGGCATCATCAGATATTCCAAAGACAAACCAAGTCACAAGTTTTCTGACCACCACTGTTCACATTGTGTGGAAAGACCCGCATTAAACGAGCAGAGGAAGCTTCGGGATGAATCCTTGACTGATTCAAGCTGGGTCTGGGCACAAACCAGAACAAGCAAACTGGTTAGATACTGTAGAACCCCTCCCTAATTTTAAAATAATAATAATTCTTAAAATAGTGGCTCATGGGGCGCCTGGCTGGCTGTCAGCTGAGCGTCCGACTCTTGATTTCAGTTCAGGTCACGGGGCACGGAACCTGCTTGGGATTCTCTCTCTCTCTCTTTGCTCCTCTCCCCCATGCACACATATACCTGCTCTCTCTGAAAGAAAAATAAAATTGCCACTAGCTCCTAAAAAAATAACCCAGTGGGTCACATACAACTTTTAAAATGACACTTTTAAAATGGACACTTTTCTCAGTTCAATTAAAATCACAGCTAAGCAGCCCACAGGTCTCTGCCGTGCTCCTCTGGCCCCGAGCTCAAGAGGTTGACCGGGTCCTTTAAGGACAGGAATAAATGCAGGACACTCTGCTCCCATCTCTCTTCCTATTTATTTTTTAAGTTTCTTCTGGACTCCTTCAATTTTGGGTCTACCAAATGCTGAAATCTTGGAAAACATTCTTAAGCAAGGCTGAACTATCAGTAATGTAATCAAATGCCTCCCCAGCCTGCCGTGTCCCACGTCTCCTTAGGTTGTTAATAAACAAACCCAAACCACTGCCTGCTCCTTTGATTTGTTCCAGTTAGCAAAGAATCTCAGGTCAGGATCACCCCTTTGTATCATCTGTGTAATTAAGAATAAGCAAAAGGAATTGTTGGATTCTTGAAAGTTCTCAGATATAACACTTGGGGATTCCATAGGATATGGTGACCTGTTATGAAACTCAGTCTGGAATTTTTGTTACTTAGAAAAACACATGTAGGGAAGCTTCTAAAATGGCACAAGTAAGTATTCTGTAAATATCTTTATCAAAAAGCACTGATTTCATCTCACTGGGATGAGAGAATTCAAAATTTCCTCTGATCTTTCTTCTGAAAGCAACAGCTCTCATATAAAAACAAACAAAAAAACCCGGGACAACTCTCATCACTGGGGGAAAGACCAAGGGATGGTCACTGTGCACAACTTGCTGGCTGAGAAAAGCCACAAAGGCCAGCCATGTCCCCATGAAGATAGGAGGCCGCCTGAGGAACAGTGGGAGTAAAACCAAATCTGGAATCAGTGACGAGGTGACTTTGTGCAGGAAGGAGGAGGGGCAGAGAAGGAGAGAAGCCCAAGCGGAGATGGGGCAGGTGGGTCACGGAAAAACCTATCTCTAAAGCACTTTAAAAAGCAGGAGAGAAGAGGAGCACTGGGGTGACTCAGTCAGTTAAGTGTCCCACTTTGGTTCAGGTCGCGATCTCACAGTTCGTGGGATCGAGCCCTGCGTCGGGTTCTGCGGCGGAGCCTGCTTGGGGTTCACTCTCTGCCCCTCCCCCACTCGCTGTCTTGCCCTCTTAAAAAAAAAAAAAGGCAGAAAAGAAAAATAACAAAGAGTAGGATACGCCCACAGGAAATTTACAGAATCAGCTTGTTGTAAACACACAGGTCAAGAATTCTTCCTTGTCCAGTTCAAAGGGCAAGCGCAGCCTGACCCCGGGACGGGATGCTCGGCGCGTTCCGTGGGCCCCCTCCTTCCTCCCACGTCTCCGAAGACATGCTCACCGAACGCACTCCCAGGACTCCCGCTTACTTTTTGGAGTAAAACGCATCTTCTTCTTTCACTTCAGTAACTACTACTTTGGGTGGCTCGTCATTCTCTTCTTCATCTCCGCCTTTTATAAAAACAAGACCAACTCAGTAAAATTCAAATCGAACGCTTAACGATGTAACCGAAGAAGCTGTCTATCCCCGCACCACCACCCATCCTCAACCTAAAAATCCTACGTAAGCCGATGTAGAAATCGAAAGCACGCGTCTAACTGGGCGTGGGGGAGCGGGAGGACTCGCTGGATTTTAACGGTTTTCTGAAAAATGAGAACAATTTTTAACAGGACCCTACTTCTCTCTTCTAGATGTCAATTTGTAGAAGGCCTTGGAATGAAAAGTTATCGACACGATTCAGTGCCCAAATTTTAACAGGAAAATAACCAATCAACACCCACACATACTCAAGATTACCCCACTAGAGAAGAAGAATGTCAGATGGGGTTCACCCTTCCCCCCCAAATGCTCCTGCTAAGGAGCTAAGGAATAATCGATCTGAGCAACGGCCAAAGATAAGGAAGATAAACTTGTTTACAGGACTTGTCAGAGAAACCACCCCCGTGTGTAAGCAAGCTTTGCCTGAACTGCCACACCGCTTGGGGCTCGGGTCCCAAGGGTCCCCTCCCTGACTGAGCCCAGGGCCCCAGGCACAGGGGAGATTGAAGTCACTATGGGATGCAAGTAACATCCTCTGGAGAAAGACAGTCTCAGGAAACTCAATAAATTAAACAGCAACAATTCTGGTGCTCAAACAATTCAAAGACAAGATTTAAATTTTAAGAAGGCAGTCCTGGGGGGCCCCTGGGGGGCTCTGTCCGTTAAGCGCCCGACTCCTGGTGTCCACGCAGGTCACGAGCTCACCGTCATGAGTGGAGCCCCACGTCAGGCTCGCGCCAAGCGTGGAGCCTGCTTGGGATTCTCTCTCCCTCTGCCCCTCCCCTGGCTTGCACCCTCTCTCTCAGAAGGAAGGTAGTCTGGAGTTAGGTTCTCCAGGGCAGGCCCCAGGCATCCCGGTATTTTAGCAAGCTTAGTCCTTCCAATGCGCCAAGCACCTCAAGCACCCGGAGACGCAGGCACCCTCACTTCCACATCCCTCCCACAGGCTCTGCCACTGCCCCGGGCCCACTGGTCCCGTTCAGGGCAGGGGAAGGGAAGGGGCGGTCTCCATCCTATGCTGTGCACGGGGCAGCCGGTGCCTGAGGGCGCACCTGACGGCCAGGCCAGGCCACCCAGAGGGGTACGGGCAGTCTCGCTCCAGGGAGGAGGGACACGGAACATTTGGTGGCAAACCGGCCACCGCGGGTTCCTTTCTTTCTCCCTCTCACGAAGTTAACATCTCCTGAGACGTATACTTTTTAACTGCTTACGAAGAAGTATCTTCACACGTGTGGGCTGTTCACAGTCACCACGTGAAGACAAGCGATTGGGACGCGAACCCCTCTCCTCAAAGAGCTAAGAAAAGAGGGAGGGAAGGCTGACTGGGGACACTGATACTACACAAGGTGGAAACTTCTGGAAAGGCGGCTGCAACCCAGACACATCCAGGGAAAACCCCGTCAATTTGTTCCCCATGGCTAACAAGAGTCTACCTGTTTTATTTATAGTAGAGCACTTTTCTGCCATGTGACCTCCCCTATAATTATAAAAACCTAAACACGAGAAATCCCATAGATGTTTATGACCAGTTTTTTAAAATATTTTTTAACATTTATTCATCTGTGAGAGAGAGAGACAGAGCATGAGCGGGGAAGG